CAGCAAAACTTGATTATATCAAACACAGAAGCACCTGGAGATGACAGAGTGGTAAGTAATTTTTTAAATGAGTCTTTATCTCTATCTCCTATAACTTCTTTTACTCATCCTCATGAAGTTCTTTCAAAATTTAGAGTTAATTTATATTTTTAATTGGGTCAGATTTTGTAGGCATAAATATTTTGTCTGTCAATATTCAAATATTTATATAGTGATATTTATTAAACTTCTTAATAGATGTTATTGTTTTACTTATCTTTTTTCACTCTCTAGTGTTATGATTTAAAACTTGTGCCTTTGATATTGTGAATTTATTATAACGATAAACTTTTTGGCTGCTCTCTGCAGTGTACATTTTCAGATGTTGTTTGTTTATTTAACTCTTTGCCCATTTATAATAGAAAAAAAGAAGCTTGCTAAAAATTCTCGAGACAACTAAGAAAATATCAAAGAGATATATGTAAAAAATAAAATGGGGAGGTATTTGGAAGATCACTGCCTTTCTCTTTTCTTATATAATTTTTGGACCTCAGAGGTGCTTGTCTCTGTGTTTTCTGTTTTGTGGGAAGTATATTATAAAAGTACTCACAAGGCATGTTATCTCCTCAAAAAGATTTATTTACTGGGAAATAGAATCTACTTTTGTGGAAAAGATAGATAGGAACATGACAATAAACCGATACGATAAAGCACTGTCAGAGTTTAAAGGTACTTATGATTCATAAATATACTCCCGTAGTTTGGAACAACTAGAAAGGCCTGGTGAAAGAGCTGTAGTGTACTTTGTAATTTAAAGAATAAAAAGGGTTTGAAAGTGAAGAGATGGTGGGAATAGCTAAAGAAGAGGAAACATGCTAAAGAATAAGAAAGGAGATGACAAAATTTAGGGACTATTCAACGAACAGTAAATAAATTGGTTTAGAATGAAAGGAATCATGCATTGGAATAGAGGCTTGAAACTTGTTAGGTATTGGGAAAGCAGATATGAGAGAGAACCAGGGGATGGGACTTTGATATGCCACACTAGGGATTTTGGATTTATCGTCTTAATCAGGGAGAGCCTGTCAAGGCTTTTCTGCAAGAGTGCTCCATAATGTGAGAGGTGTGATGCTCAGCCAGTAGGGGGATCAGTGAGGACAGGAAGACATCAGACATGGGGAAGATGAAGGCTTATGATCTTTTAATAGTTTAAGCATGGGATAACTCTACTAGGATGATGGTAATTGATATGTTAGGGATGTATAAGAAATATTTTTAAAGTATAAATGATAAGGTTATTGACAACCTTATCAACAAAGTCAAAAGTGCAGACAAAGTGGTAAAGGCCATAGCTAGGGACAATGGCTACATCTCAGTCTTTTTCTCTATCTCAGGGTGAAAATACCTCTCTTATCTACTGTTTCTCTCTTTCCACTCTTCCCCATCATCATGCAGAGTCATAGTCCATCTATGCTTGACATGCCTACATGTGGAATCCTGCAATTATCTCTTCAGGTAGAAAATAGGTTTGGTACTTTGATAGTCCTTGACTCATAGTAAGTTTTTATTTTATATCTAAGAATGGAAGGAATGAACCTTATTTAGTATTTATTCTTTGCCATTTAATGCTTGAACTGATGATATTGATTGGTCATTTCACCATGTTAACTGTTCTCTGTTAGGAATTCTTCTAAGAAGGACTCGGAATTATTAATTTACTCAAGAGCATAGTTTTAGGCAAATTTTTATAAACTATAACAAAATTTTATAGTGAATATATAAACTCAATTTAATACAATGAGTAAAGGTGATGATTTTAGTTTTGGATCAGAGTTTCAGTTGAAGACAATCAGATGAGGTTAGGAGTTGGATGAAAAATCAGGACTGGAAAAGTAAATCTGGAAATTATTGACATGGATAAGGAGTCCATGTGAGAATAAACTTTGGAGAATGCAGATGGCGGGCAGGAAGATAAGAGCTTGCACTGTGGGCTCAGCATCGATTTTAGGTTATTTTCAATTCTCCTTTAATTAGCTTGGAAGTATGATCTCTAAACATACATTTATTATGACAAAATTATACCATCAAGGAGATTTAATAATCAGGATTTTTTCCCTAGTAATACTATTTTACTGTAACAGCAACCAAAGTGAAAAAATATAGGGTAGCACTGCCACCAAATGGCTAGTTTTTAGTTCTCTTTTCTGGTATTTTTTTCTAAGGCAATGAGCTAGCGTGTGTGACTTTTGTAGAAATATTTCAGGTTCAATAAATGATCTGAACTTGAAAATCTTTCAGTTTATTTAGAGACTGCACATTGAATAGAAAAAATTAAATTTATAGGATGGCACAATGGAGAGTCTAATTATAATGGAAGTTCCTGTCATGAAAGTAACGATTTATAATTACAGCTGAGGTTACCACTATATCTAAACTTCTGACCTGTGGCCCAGAGGGTTGGAGTGAAGTTCCAGTATTAAGTTAATGTTGAATCAAGTCTTTTTCATTTTAAAGCATTTACTTGACTCTTTGTCCTTCTCTAATTCTGCCATATCTCTTTTCCTTGGAAACTGAATTTTCTGAAAGAAAAATTTATGCTTGATTTCTCTATAACATTACTTTTGTTTATTCAGTATTCCTTGGAAATTCTTTTGACAAAGATCACCAAAGGCCACTTTTTACCTGAATCCAATGGGCATTTACTTTATTTGAACCAGTCGTTACCATACCCTGATTTTTTTTTTTTTTTTTTTT